TTTTTACATTCTTCACCCTGTTGTATAAATCTGTTGTGATCAAAAAGAAATCAATTCTTGAGAAAGATTGGTGTCTATCTGAGAAAAACGTAAAATCCTTTTCTTCTTGATTACGTTCACGCCAATAGTCTCTCAATTCCCAATCTTCTTTCATGTCAAAAAAGGCTTTAGGTAATTTAGCCTGTTTAAAAAAGGTAGAAGAGCCTTTTTTGTCCATTTGTATATCTAAGACACCATTCCAGTCTCCCATTAAAATCACGGATCTATAGTCCAACAAAGTTATTTTCTGATGTAGTAACCTATAAAATTGCTCCTGTTGCTGGTTTGGTGCATACAACCCCACAATAAGAATTTTCTTGCCATATAAACCAAGTTCAAGCATAACATATCTTCCATAAGGATCTGATTCTAACAAGGTAAGCAGATAAATTCTGTTTAACATAGATTACCACACCCCCTTTCTTCCCAGGGGCGGGAGATACAAAATGAGATCCCAAGCGAGGATTATTTAAATATTTTTGATCTTTAGCTGTAATATGAGTTTCTTGCAAGCAAATAATATCATTGTTATGTTGTTTCAAATAGTGGTAAATTTTTTTTCTCTTTTGAGGAATGTTTAATCCATTAACATTCCAGGACAGGAGCTTTGCCATCTCCCTTGGCCTTCAGCCTGGAGAAGATCCGCTCAAATTCTGCTGCTGATGAATATGTAGCAGAGCTTTTGGGTCTTGCTCCTCCCACCGGCACTGAAGCAATTTGCTGAGTAGATTCTTCAATTTCTTTTTCTTTTTCTTTTTTCTGTTGTTCTTTTTCTTTACGTTTATGTGCTGCACGGGTCATTCTCTGTTCTTTAACCTCTGGTTGAGACATCCATACCACCTGTCCAGCAGTCATCATCCCTGTACCTTCAGATTTCTGTTCCATCTCTTTGTCACTCAAGACTTTATGCATCATGGGCAAAGGAGAGCCTGCTCCCAGGACCGTTTTATAAAATTCCTTAGCTTTAGCAACTGTATTAAGTCTATAACGTGTCCCCGCATGGCTCAAAACAATGCCCATCGGAATCTCCCATCTAAATGGCATTTGTCTTGCTTTAAGTTCATTTACTAAAAAAGCAAAATCTTTTCTGCTTCTTAAAATTTTAGGTGGAATTTCCTTTAAAATAATAATATCTTGGGCAGCAATCTGAAATCTTTTATTATAAAAAGTTTGTAGAATCTGATTTCGCAAAGACTTCTTAGCAAAATATATCACCACATCTCTAGGCAAATTCCTCTGTTTTGCAATCCAAGAATTAACTCTATAAATTCTTTCCACATCCCCACGTAACTCTTCTTTATCAATATTCAAAATAACAGCCAAGTCATTAATCACCATTTCCATCAAATCTTGAGTTTTATCTTCTTTCAGACCCCTTATTCTCAAAGCATATTCCATCTGTCTATACTGGAACATAAGAATATCATCTTGTGAAGTCTCCACTTTTTTCTCCATATCTTGAAATTTATAATCCAAAAGTTCAACTGTTTCTTCAATTTCCTCTACTCTGGAGTCCAGCTTCACAACCACTGAGGCCATTCCAGATAGAGCTAGAAGTATATCATCCCTCAAAATAGCATTATTCTGTTCTAAAAGCTCCTTCATCTCTTTCTTCATTTCCTCCTTAGTTTCAGATTTATTCTGATCCAAAAGTTGTTTCATTTCCTCCCTAAACTGTGAGACAGCACTTACCATTATTTCTTTAATGTCTTGTGCTGATGTGCCAGATGGGGGAGGTGAAGGTGGAGTAGATTTAGGTTGCTGCACTGAGGGTATTATTTTAAGTTGTTGTTGCACAGTAGAAGTAGCAGGAGAAGAAGTTACTTTAGAAGCTGCAGTAGCTGGTTGTCGTTTTGAAGCCATTTTAATTTATCTTCCTTTCTTCTTAAAAATACCAATAAAAATAAGTAATCCAAAAAAAAATTAAAAATAAGATAAAATAGAATAAGATAAGATCAATCTAAAAGTCCCCAAAAATAAAAAAGTAAAAAAAGTAAAAAAAAAGCAATATTAAACAACAATTCAGCCGATCCGTCTTTTAAAGGAAAAAAAAACTTTCAAAACGCCATTTTACTTTCACTCTCACTTTTCCGCCCAAAAAAAAAAGAGAAAGCTCAAAAAAATAAAAAAAAAATCAGCAGATACTAAATAAACTAAATAAACTAAAAAAAATAAAATAAAGCTAAACTATAAATAAAATCCTTTAAACAGTTCTGTCCGGTTTAAGATTACTCACGGTTTCTTTAAGTACGGAGATGGTAGCGGCGTCTCGCTTTGTTTCCGAAGAAACAAAGACAGCTGAGAGGCGGAGAAGGCAATGAACTCCGAGGGAACCCTCTTTCTACCCCCCTAAAAATAAAAATCCAGGGAGAGTTAAGAGGTTCTACCTCTATTCATGCGATCTCTACCCCTTCCCTTCGCCCGGGAAGGGGATTGCGAGCCGCGGGCCAGCTGATAAACGCTGTGCTCCGCGGATCTGACACCTTCTCAGGAGGACGGCTACAAAGTAGCCGCCATCTCCACCGCTTTGACCACCGGAAGTCGACTGAGATACAGTTTATTAACATTGGCAAGAGATTGATTCTTACTCCTTGCATTTATCCCCATCTATGACAACCACAAAAAAGTCTCCTTTTAATTTCAAACTATATTAAAATGTGCATAAAAGTGGAAAACATGATTCAGCAAAGTATTCTGGTTAGTTGAAAATAAATAGCTAACTACTAATAATGCCTCACAACAGCCAGTTTGGTGGAATGGTTAAGAAGGCATCATGACAGAAACGGGGGCTATTAGTTCTAATCCTGCCTTAGGCACAAAGCCAGCTGAGTGATCTTGGGCCAATCACTCTCACACAGCCCTAGGAAATAGTCACTGGCAAACTATTTTTTGAAAAACGTTGCCAAGAATGCCTCAGGGAATCTGAGTCTGAGATTTGGACACAAATGAATGCAAAAAAAAAAAAAAAAAAAGTCTCGCTCATCTATTTTCCTTTTCATTACAAAAATATCCAGGGAATACCATGATATTTGGCAAACTTAGTAAATTGAAGATGCATTCCCAAAGAGGACATATTATGTCATTCCAGAAAAAGGACATATTATTCCAATATTTTTTTAAAAAATTACATGGAGACTTCGTCAATCTTGACCTGAAGAAAATTTCACCTTTCTTTCTTACAGTTGGATTCAAAATGTAATTGTTCACACTGAAGAATGCATTAGGGAAATTTATGAAACAAAATTCATTATTAGGATAATTTATTCTTTTTTTAAAAAAAAAATCTCAGAATCTGTATTAACCACCTTATAAATTGCCTAAAGAAATTATAGATGTTAAGGAAAGTTGTAACTTTTCCTGCAGCTTTTTTGCCATTTTTAAAGATTATTTATGTGAAAAAAATCTATAATTAAAGAAACAATGGATGGTAACTAATCAAGGAGAGAAACAACCTAGAATTATGGAGAAACCTTCTAATAGTGACAACAATTAACCAGTGGAACAGCTTGCCATCAGAAGTTGTAGGACTTCATCACTGGAGGTTTTTAAAAAGAGACAGGATAGTCACTTGTCTGAAATGGTATGGGGGCTCCTGCTTGAGCAAAGGGTTGGACTAAAAGACCACCAAGGTCCCTTCCAGCTCTATTCTGATTCTGATATTGATCTAGATATTCATATAATGAAGTCAACATCAGAGCTTCTAAAATATTTGCTTTTCATTTTCATCCTTTCTCATTTCCAAGTGAAGAATTATATATGGCCATAGAATGCAATGAGGCACTTTGCTAAAAGTCTCCAAGCTGAATGCAAACTTCTAACATACTTAGAAACATAGAGGGCAATATCCAATTACATTGAAACTGCTCTATTTTCATTTTCTTTAGGAGGTTACTATTCCATCTATGGACAAGATATATGTGATTAGTAATGGTGCTCAATTATTAAACGGAAAAGCAAGACTTTGGGGAAAAGAAATGTTCTCCATGGTGTCACTGCTTCTTACTTTAAAGATATATTTATTTAGTTTAGTTTTCTAAGCCACTGCAGTCATGTGATCCTAGGCAATACATAAAAGAAATGAACAGCATCAACAAAATACAAACAATATAAAAATTAAGAACAACTAACATACATCAATACAAACATATATCCTCAGGATAAGCACTGACTTATCATGACAGCAAAAATAACATCAAGGCTAATGTAGCTTCTTTTGGGGAGGCTCTTCTATAACATAGGCAAGATATACTTATTTTACAAACTATACATTTCAGGAACTTATTACCTCTTCGTTATTTCTTCACTTAGCAGAAAAAAAGGCATATATTGGGGGCAATAATTCCAGGGAAATTACAGTAGTCTTTGATAACACTGTATTAATTAGAATGTCTTCTCCAACTCTTTTGTTGCATAACAAAAGAAAAATGAATCTCCATGCCTGCTAAATGTAATAATTGTTTGTTCTAATCTTAAATATATTGTGTGGAAGTAATTTATATCTGTTAATCAATACACATTGCCGTATTAGTGTGTTAGAGGGGGATTTCACAACTTCTTGTCTACTATGTTTTAAGCAAGTTGGGTCCTTGTTCTACCTGCAATTTGTGATGTTGTTCTAAAATAAATCTCTGCATGTTGGGAAATTTTTTCAAATCAGTGAGCATGAACTTGGGACTCTTATCTTCTGGTTGAATTTGAAACATCTTAATATTATTAAGGAACAGAGTATTACAACAGGAGTGCAGTAATGAGTGGAACAATAATAGTTTGTGTGATAAGACCTCTTACAAAGAAATGTGTGATATGCCCCTGTTTCTTGGTGTTGATTTTATGTTAAATGGAACTGCATGGGTGTACAGCTTAATATGTAATGATGTCCAAGTTAATTGGTCTTCATTTAATTCCTTCCACTATTTCTCAAACAGTATGGTGTTCCAAATCAAACTGTATCCTTGTTTTAGATAAAATTGAAGATGAATTGGAAATGACAACAGTATGTTATCGACCAGAAGGATTAGAACAACTTGAGGCACAAACCAATTTCACAAAGAAGGAACTTCAAGTGCTTTACAGAGGATTCAAAAATGTAAGATGGTAAAATGTACTTATTATGAACTGATCAGTAAATCAGAACAGGAGAAAAGGTTTTTCTTAAGTCATTCTTTAGATCTAAGATCAGACAGATAAAAGGCTATAGTGCTTATTTTTAATGTCATAAAGATACATTCAAAAGGATGCCAGGCTGAAAACATGCAGCTCACCTGTTAAATGTAGCCTGTGTTGTAGTTTTCTCACGTGCGAAATGGATGAGTTAATAGCTCTGTAACCTGGCAATTTCAGCTAAGCATTGTTTCTTCATTGTGTCAAATTAGATTTGGGACAGTCCATTATTGCTTTTGGATATCCTGGAAATATTTTGTATTTCCCAATTGTGGTCATATCCCATTCAGTTCATATCTTTTTTAAAAAAATCCTCACATTTAAAATTAATTGCTGAGGAGTTAGACATATCTGTTCCAATTGTTTGTCAATAATAGAATGAATTACTTACCAAAATAAGTATTTGTAAGCTCTGATTTTCCCTGAAGTTCTCTTTTCCTTTCATAGTATTATGAAGCTGCTTTTTTTCTTGGGAGGTGGGCGGTAGATGGCACAATGTGACTATTTCAAAGATAAAATATTAAATTTCTCCTTCCTTCCTTCCTTCCTTCCTTCCTTCCTTCCTTCCTTCCTTCCTTCCTTCCTTTCCCAAATCCTACTTTCCATTATTAATTAATGTGAGTCTTTTTAATATGCAGCTTGAGCAGTGAGCTATCGCTCTCCATAGTGATAGCTTACTGTTCAAGCTGCATATTTAAAAGACTCACACTAATTAATAACTTGATTCTGCCACAATTTTTCAAAATATATTCAGAAGGTATCATTGTATGGCTTTCACTGTGTATATTATTAATGTAGTGGATTCAAATGGAGAGAGCCAGATTAAGGAACAATAAAATGCATATATATGTTGTAATTTATCTTAGTCTAAAATTCTACAGTTTGGGGAGCTATAACTGTGCTCAATAGCGCAAGACTGTTGAGATTGCAAAGAAACATATGACTAGCAGATAAAATTTCTACTTCAGCAATGAATCATAAGTATCATTCATGAAATATATTAATTTCATAAAAAGCAAAATGTTTCATAGCATTAGTTTTTGATAAGATGTGTGGTAGTAAAGTCTTTGCTTCATTATTCATCCTGATTCCAATATTTCTAAGGGAGATGTATTTTGCTATGTTTCATCTCAATCAATTTGCCAAAGCTTTTCAGTGTCAGGATAGATCCAGATCTTTGTGTACAGCAAACCAGTTACATACTTATACAATTCAACATATTTAAATAGAAATTGGCCAGAAAATTGCTTTTATTTGCTAGAACAGAATTTGACAACTTGAATGAATATCTGCATGTATTAGATAGATTATTATTGAACTATTATTATCTTTAAGAAATCAGCAATGTTCATGTAACAAAAAATGTAAAACTTAGAGTGTCCTTGGCCAGGGCTGGATTAAGACCAACTGATGCCCTAAGCACAGCACACAGTGGTATCCCCCAATCCTTCCATTGCTTAAATGACAAGCCATTAAGATCCATTAAGGGCTGAAAACTAAAGCTGAGTGTGTCAATGAAAGAATTAAGGACATGATAGCTAAGGGTGCCCCCTCATCTTCTCTTAGTTCCTCATGATTTTTACATGCCATCAGTTCATTTCCAACTCCAAGCAACCCCATGAATAGATTTTCTCCTTGATGATCTGTCCCTAACCTGTTCCTTCAGCATTTCCAATGGTGTACTCATTGCCGCTGTAACTGAGTCCATCCAACTTAGTGTTGAACATCCTCTTCTCTTTCCTTCCACCTTTCCCAGTAATTATAGCCTTCTCCAGAGAGCTAGATACTTATATCTATAAGTATCTTATCTTTATAAGATACTTATAAAAGAGCCGAGGTGGTGCAGCAGTTAGAGTGCAGTACTGCAGGCCACTTTAGCTGACTGTGTTCAGCAGGTCAGCGGTTCAAATCTCACCGGCTCAAGGTTGACTCAGCCTTCCATCCTTCCGAGGTAGGTAAAATGAGGACCCAGATTGTTGGGGGCAATGTAAATATATATATATATATATACATTGCTTACTGGTGTACACCGCTTAGAGAGTGCTTGCACCTAAAGCGGTATATAAGTCTCACAAATAAATAAATAATAAATAAATATAATATGTGAGAAATAGACTAGACTAGACTAGACTAGACTAGACTAGACTAGACTAGACTAGACTAGAATAGAATAGAATAGAATAGAATAGAATAGAATAGAAGCTGGAAGGGTCCTTGGAGGTCTTCTAGTCCAGCCCCTTGCTCGAGCAAGAGAATCTATACCATTTCAGACAAGTGACTGTCTAGTCTCTTCTTAAACATCTCCAGTGATGGAGCACCCATGATTTCTGGAGGCAAGCTGTTCCACTGGTTAATTGTCCTCACTGTTAGGAAGTTTCTCCTTAATTCCAGGTTGCTTCTCTCTTTGATCAGTTTCCAACCATTGTGTCTTGTCCTGCCCTCTCGTGCTTTGGAGAATACTTTGACCCCCTCTTCTTTGTGGCAGCCCCTCAAATACTGGAATACTGCTATCATGTCACCCCTGTTTCTTCTTTTCTTTAAACTAGCCAAACCCAAGTCCTGCAGCCATTCTTCATATATTTTAGTCTGCAGGCCTTGGATCATCTTAGTTGCTCTTCTCTGAACTTTTTCCAAGGTCTCAACATCTTTTTTGTAGGATGGTGACCAAAATTGGCTTCAGTATTCCAGGTGTGGTCTTACTAGGGTTTTATAAAGCGGTACTAATACTTCGCGTGATTTTGATTCTATGCTTCTGTTTATACAACCCAGGATTGTGTTAGTTTTTTTGGCTGTTGTTGCACAATGCTGGCTCATTGCCAAGTGATCATCCACTTGAGCCTCAAATGAGAATCCTAGATTGATTGGTGCCCTAAGTATATATTTATCATTGTGAGGAAAACCCTAACTAAAAGCAAAACCAAGGTATTTGAGAAATAGAAACAATGAAGTATACTTATAAATACTTACTGGCAGACTGCAAAAGAGAGCCCTGAGCAAGCCCAATCCTCAGACAGTGCCATTTCCTCTGGAGTGCTTTGATTGACTGTACTGCTAACTTTTCACACCTTTCTGATGGTATCAACACATACCATAATCATTGGTGTCTATTTGCTTTCTGCTGACCATTTCCACCCCAGAGTCACAGCACTGGGTGTTAGGTTATGCGTTTACTTCTACCAAAAGCCATGATACGTTTTTATACATTTACTATAATGTGGAATGCTCCATACTGTTGTGTTATTTGTCCTTGGCCTCTCCGGTTGGAGGAAGATATTTAGTAAGCATAAGAGGCAAACATTTAGGTACAGATACAATCCAAGTGCCTCCTGGTAGCTGGAGAAAGGCACCGTTTATCTTCCAAAAATGACTATAGCAAGGACAATATATCAAGCACTGGGTAGAGCACAGTTGAAAATTAAAAAACTAAGTCTCAAATATGCAAGTCTGGGCTGTCCTGGAATGTTGGAAGCTGTGTTGGGTGTGTTCATGTAAGTGTTACTGAAAGTGGGAATCCCGTCTGATAAAAAGTGATGAAGCAAGTTTTATTCCTGCTGTCAACAATAAGGAGAAATATTCAGGGGAATATCTGATAGTGTCAGGGAAAACCTGGTCTAGCTAACTACATTTTTGGAAATTCAAATCCACTGACGTTCTCTCTTATTAATACCTTATGACATACTTACTCCAAGAAGATGATAGATTTATTTATTTGTTATATTTTTATCCTGCCTTTATTTCTTTGGAAATCAAGAATTAATATTATATTCCATACTCCATATATACCATTCTGCCTGCTCTTTGTCTGAGACAGTGCTAATCTGAGTTCACTTGTATCTGCCTTTTGTCCTAGCTGCACATGCACAGAGGACAGTCAACAGCATGGACTCTGTGTTTGTGCAGCTAGGACAAAAGGCAGAGGACAGTCAACAGCATGGGCTCGGTGCATGTGCAGCTAGGACAAAAGGCAGATACAAGTGAACTCAGATTAGCACAGTCTCAGACAAAGAGCAGGCAGAATGGTATATATGGAGTATGGAGTATAATATTAAATCTTGATTTCCAAAGTAATAAAGGCAGGATAAAAATATAACAAACAAATAAATCTATCATCTCCCTGGAGTCAGTATGTCATAAGGTATTAATAAGACAGAACATTGGTGGATTTGAATTTTCAAAACTTTTAATATTAGTTTGCTCTTGGCAGAGACCTTAAATTCTGGAAACTCTGAGCATAGCTGACACGATCATTTCTGATTTCAGTATCAGGCTGATATGAATTATCCTGGCTATGCCCAATTTTTGTCTATACAACTGAGCACTTTTCTATGTCTCCACATGGATTAGGAAGGCAAGACTCTAATTCAAGGTGTGAGTCACAAGGGCCAAGAATATTGAGGACCTATATCAACTCATAACATGGTTGTTAGTGTTGAGAGTGCTTGACTGATTTACCCTGGTCTTCATTGAAGGCTCACTCTTCCTTGCATTGAAATGCAGAAGATCTTGATATGTAGGTTATTTATCAAAATGTGTTTACAAAAAAAAGTGATTATATGTTGGTATAATGTTGCATAGTATAAAAATGCACTGATATATTTTTTAAATGACACTTTTGCAGAGAAACTCAAGAAAATTTAAGCTAGTTTCTGAATATGTAAGAAAAAAGAATTAAAAAGTAACTTGTTATTTTCTCATAAAGTTTCATATCCTAACTGTGAAAATTCTCAATTTATAGAATCGTAAAAGAGCATCGGAATACCCCAATTATTCCTGATATGCACAAATGTCTACTTATATAGTTTAAAGGATTGTGCATAATTAACCAGACAGAATATTCATCAAAATCCTTAATGAACTAGTTTTGTCATAGTTAGGTTGCTCCAACAGAAATTACATTAAGGGGCATACCTGCTTGATTTCCCAAGG